GGCCAGATAGTCCTGATCCCCAAGGACCCTCAGATGGGACCGCTCCCATCCAGCGATAGGGAGGATCGATAACCTGCCTCAGCACCACATGGAAGCTCCTGTCAGGCATCACAGCGGCTACGACGAACAGGAACGTGGCTTCATACATGAAAGGAAACAGTCAGAGAGACCAGAGGAGCAGAACCCCAGCTACTCGAGACCGTGAGACCAGACATCAAAAAGTCGGAGGGTAACAAAGAGAGGGAAGGTAGTCAGAACTGAGGTTTATACTCCCGTAAGGCAACACTGCAGACATCGAGGAGAGCTACAAGTACCTGTGAGTCCCACTGAATAAACCCTGGTTTGGCTTCCCTAGATGAGTTTGGAGTTGTGGGTGTGACGTGTATAAAAGCCAGAGCACTGAGATCTGAAGTGATGTGCTGAACTTTCATCGAAATCTGTAATAATCACGTCCACCGTTAGAGTCACATCAGAGGTTAGAGTTCACGTTTGTATTTGTTTTTATTGCATCATTTTAATTTCTTCTGATTTTGGTTGGATTTCATCAGTGTGTTCTTCTGTTACTCAGGTACAGCTGTGCTTTGAAATATTTGAAACAATTTTAAAGAACTACATTGAACTTTGGAAGTTTTTCTCCCTCCAACAGCAGCCTAGAAATCCTCAGACTACCTACATTTTCTGCACTAATTGGATCCGTGGGTGCTTACAGCCAGAGTTTGAAACTGTTTGAAATTGTTTTGGCATCTTCTTCTTATTTTACCATGACAAATACTCTCCGCAGCTCTCCTCCCTTTGCCTACATTCTTTCAAGGTTATCCTGTGAAAGGGGAAGGCAGCGGCACTTTGTCAGCTGCATGTTTCTTACGTAAGAGTGACACCTGAGCGGCGCTCTTATGTAAGAAACATATCATCGACCGGGCCCGGTGAATTTTCTCTCCCGTCTCAGAGGTGTTTCACCCGGCAGGGGAGACGGGTTCAAAAGCGACAGAGAGGAATATTACAAACAGTCATCAGCCTGTCCTCGTTTGTCTGCTTTAAAAAACAAGTTCTTATCGTGGAGAAACCAGACAGATGGTGCTGACAACTGGCACACAGACAGAGAGAGAGAGAGAGAGAAAGGCAGAAGGAAATAAAAGAAGGAAGGAGACAGATAAACTGCCAGACAGACTGAATGCCAGGGCTTCGGGTCTCTGAGATAAAAACTGGATGTTGCTCCTTGGACATGATGGACTTCTCCCCCTCTCTCCTCTCTCTCGCTAAGCTCCTGCAGCTCCATGCTCGCTTGTGCAGACCATCTGGGAAAAAAGGGGATTGTTTTTGCCGAGGGACCACGGTGCCAGCTTCCTACACCGACTGATCTGAGGGCTTTGGAAAGCCCATCTCCCCCTGCTTCAAACACAATAAACAGAATGGATGAATGTATGCCATTGTACTGTATCTGGGAGGCGGGCGGGCGGAGGGGCGGGGGGCACAGTGTTTGGTTTCAGAGCTGGAGTGATAGCAGCACAGGGATAGAGGGGCTTAGAGGAAAACACGGAGTGAGAAACTGAGTGACAGAGCAGCCGCTCACAGCAGAGATGCCAACATGAAATCTGTTAGTCTGGACACCCGGTCGCGTTTCAAGTCATATGTTTACGGTTACGTTTAGCTAAACTAAATGTGATTTTTCATCATTAATCTCATATGTACCGATTTTTTTGTACTTTTACCTCAAAGGATTTTCGTGTTGTGCCTGCAGGAGCTCCTTGCAGACACTCCTGCATCTGATCCATGCTGCAGATCTGCACCTGCAGTAGTGAGCTATACAACCACTGATCTGCATCAGTGTTAAACTGCTAAACCTTTTTTCAGTTTTACAGTTAACTAGCAAGACTGTCAGAGCTACTAGTTCAGCCAAGAGGAGCCTACAGCATGAAAATCCGATTGGATCAGACCAGTTTGGGATTTGGATCTCCTGCCACAGAGTCACTAGTGGATAAAGATCTAATGATGAACTAGTACTGATAAGGAAAAAACAGTGTATATCTCTTAATGGTCAAACAGCCTTTACCAGGTGAAAATTAGGCCACGCCCTCAACCATGCAAACATTAAGGCTTAAAAGTCAGGAATTAAAATAGGACATGATCTATAGACAACAAAAAGAGTTTTTGTGTCAGACTGCAGTCATGTTTATTCGTTATCATGAATCTCTGGCTCTCTTCCACAGCATGTCTTTGTCCTGCCCTCCTTCCTGTTTGTTAGCTAAACTTTGTCTTGACTATGAAAGTCAAACAATGTCAGAAATCAGTAATAATATGTGATATATTCTGTGAGGCCTGGGCTGAAGATGATTTTGCCAATTTTGGTGACGATTTAAAAATGACTGTGCTGTATAATGTTTTATATTTGACCTTGTCAGTGCCTAATTTCAGTCCTCTTCACCACTCGGCCTCAGTGTGCAGAAGAGGAAGATGTAAAAGGAAAGGTAGAAAGGTGGCAGCTGTGTCCACAGCTTCAGCGCTCAGCCTCTAATAACAGCTGATTCCTGCTGCCGGCTGATAAAGCCATAGGTGTGCTGCCTCACCCTGATACCGCTGCTGCACACCCAAATCTCATTTTGACCAGAGATTGTCTGTTTTTATGTTTTTTGTGCAGGGTGGAGAAGAATTGAAGCAATGACTCTTGGAGGAGGAGATGGAGGCCGTTAAAATGATGCAGGTGAGATCCGTGCAGTAAGGATGCCATCTGCTGTCGGTGAGAGCTCACAGAACAGGCTGGAATATGTAACTGGGACATATTTACCCCTTAATGGTCTCACCACGAGATGGTCTCTAACAATGAGACTTACACTTGGTGTAGCAGCACAGTAAATAACTATTAAACATGTTTTATTCATATTATTATCTAAGTTAGCTGCCAGACTTGTATCTGTTTCTTTAATCAATGATGAAGGTGAACATGTATCAGGTAGCTGACTCTGTGGTTTCCAAGTGATTTGATTGGTTTTGGATGCACTGTGTGTTTCAGTAAGAAGCTCCTGGGATCAGTAGCTGGCAGTTATTTTAAAAGATCCTTTATTTAAACCCAGAGTTAAACAGGAAGCTTGGACCAAAGTGTAGGAAAAGCAGCAAATGATCCCAGATCTGAATAAGAAGAAGACAACCTGATAAAGACACACAGACTGAGCTCACAGAGAGGAGGGTAACGAGAACAGGTGCGCTGAGACCACGGCTGTATCCCAGTTCAGGCTCTGCAGCCTTAAAGGCCGCATTTTAAGGCCGATTACGTCACAGCGACGCGACAAAGGCTGTCCCAATTTGAAGGCTGCTCGAAATGCGGCCCTCAAATGCGTCCTTCATTTCCCTGAATTTTAAGGACGTGGCGGTGTAGACTTTGTGGCCCAACGTATCCCAGAATACATAAGCTGTCAATGGAAAATTGTACTTAGTATAGTCAGTATAATTTTTTAATGATATAAGTTTGCATATGGTAGAATACTGCATGTAATCATTTGTGTTTAGAAGTATATAGTTGGTGGCATATTGAAAGAATGTCTCATCCTAGGAGGTCTGTGACACTCTGGCTTCACCCCCACATCCTGGGAGTATGGGAGAGGTCGTACCTTGTTTTATTGTTTTACGGTAGGATTAACGTAGCTATGTCTGTCTTAGTCTAAGTGCCTTTTGTTTAGATGAACTGCTGGACTTCTTCACTGTGTTATCTAGAGTGAACCATCTAGGGTGAGGGGGAGACTACCCTCTTGATGACCAAGGATGTTCCTCTTGTGCTTTTCAGCAGGATCACACACACACACACACACACGTACACCTGCACATTCCAATGTATGGAACAAACGCTCACTGAAGCATATAAATAAAGACCAGGGCAGTTTCTTAGCGCGAGTCTCAGTTTGGAGGCTGCTCTTGCTAGCAAGAAGTTCTGTGTGTTTCTCTTCTCTGAGTCTTTACTGAAGAAGTGTTTTAGAGTATATCTCTTAACAATAGCGCGGCGGTGGGTGTGAATAATTTTGGCAAAAAAAAAACGGCGGATGAGGGGCGCCCGAAGAGTAAACTTAGTTTACTAAGTGCTGAATATTATGTCACTTATTTATGTGCAAATGTTTAATAACGAAGAACCTTAAACGTTACTGTTGGCCACATGTCGGCAAAGTCATGTGACATTAGTGACGTTTGTACTAACTTGGTTTTAAAGCCTTTACTTTAAATATACACCGTTCGATAGCTGAGCTTAATCTTACAGAGAATGATCAAAGCTCATGTAGGAACAAACAAATGAACAAAAGATTTTCTCCTTCATCTCTGTCAAACACAGCTGTATGACACGTTTCCAGCTGTTAGTATCATGGTTGCTAGGCAACCTGGTTGCCTAGCAACCTCAACTGCTCATTTTAACAACTATGTAATCAGCCAATAACATGTCAGCAACCCACTGTTTCAGACTTGGAGGCGTGGTCATGGTGACCTGCTGAAGCTCAAACATCTCTCATGTCTATCCAGTGTGCAGGAGTTCTCTGGGAGGAAATGTCTTGTTGACATCAGAGGTCAGAGGAGGATGGACAGACTGATTTTAGTGATGTAAAGACAACAGGAACTTCTGCATTCTTACGACCAAAGAATGCAGAAGCGCTCAGTTCATCCCTGAAGCAGATGAGCTTCTTTCTTTCTTTCTTTCTTTCTTTCTTTCTTTCTTTCTTTCTTTTCTCTTTCTTTTCTTTTTTTTTTTAACTTCAGCAGAAGAGGAAGAGCAGGAAACCGGGGCTATAATCACACAGACTGACCAGAACTGGAGACTCAAATTTGTTTTTTATGGTTTTCTTATTTGTTTCTTTGTATTTCTTTCTTTTTTCTCTTTTTTAAAGTGTTAGGTGTAGAATGATTTGATTTAATAAAAAGAGATCATAGGCAAGCTGGATGTGATCTGTCAAGCTGTCATGAAAACAGTGGGAGGACCTCAGTTAAACTTCTTTATGATTGGGCGGACTTTTTAAGGGGCCCACACTCGCCTTCGTTCTGCCCCTGCACATTATTATAAACTGAACAACAGGCTCCATCTGTGAGGAGACTGCTGCGGCTCAGAGGGCTGCTGGCCCTTTAAGACTTTTCCGGTCAACAGAAGGATTTTATTTTGTAAGTTACACTAACTAACCAAAGGCTTTTATGCTGACGAGTGCGTAATGGCGGGCGGGGGGTAGGAACGACACTTTTTGAAATGTCCTGATGACTTCTTGTCACTAACATTTGGAAAAGTATGAAATATTTTAAAGTATACGAGTCTTTCTATAACAAACCAAAAGCTTTTACTTTGAAAGTTTGATATCATGGCACCCACCACCCTTTGTGATACGTAATGAAAAGTTTTCATAATTTTTCAAGCAAAAACGTATATTTTCTGGTTTCCGCTCCATTGACGGGACGGTTTCCATTTTTTTGACATACTGCTGGCCCTTTTAGACTGCCCCGGTCGCCATGGTGACAACCAGGAAGCAAAACTGATTCTCTTTAGCATGTCGACATCTGCGACTTTCAGCGGTTCATTTAGGCCTTTTCTTCATCTTTCTGCTGACCTCCACCGCCTGCGAGCCCTCTGAAACACGGACAGGTGAGCCCCGAAGCAGCGGAGCTTTTCCGCTTCGGTTTGTTTTAGCCTGAAATCACCGACAGTGCTTAGCCGTCGGTTAGCTGTGGAGCTTTTAGCCTCCGTGCTAACTGGATCCAGCGGCGGTGCCGTCGCTGTCCGTGGTGCTGACAGAGCGCGCACATCTGCAGCTGCAGCACTGACAGCTGTCCTCCTGATCCTTTCATTAGACTGCAGGACTAGGCCCAGGTTTATTTGTCCGAGCTGTACGGCGCGTAAAGAAGCGTTCAGAAACCACAGATCAGCTGTAGAACAGAAGCGGGAACTCACCTTGTGTGGCAGACAGGTCACTCACTTCAGACCTGTCATTTGTTCTTCCAGACGATGAGCGGGACCCCTGACGACACCAAGCCTGTGAACTTCACTGTCAAAGCTCCGGTCTACCTGCAGATTGGAGATGCCAAAGCAGACACGGCTCACTCCGGTGTCTGTGTCGTCGACGTCAACCTCCCGTTTGGAAAGCCTGTTAATGTAAGCAAACGCAGAGAGCCCCCGAGTGCCTCACATGATCAGTTACCTACAGCATCCTCCATGTTTTTTGTCTGACATCCTCCTGAGGCTTTATCAACTTCTATGCTTTCTTCCATTTGTGCAACATCTCTAAAG